CACATTTCCATTTTTGGAGGAGTTAAAGGATTTGCAAGACTAATAAAAGTTGTAGGGACTAGGTGTCCTGCACTATACAAAAAAATTTTTTTGTGAAAATGGTTATACTTTTCTCTCTCACCAACTCTTTTTTTTTGCCAACCTTTCCCTCTTTTTCCTTTTCGTCAATATGCTCTTGCAGTAAATTACATTTCATTGATTATTTTACATTATGGCAAGTTCAGGTTAACATTTTATTTACTTCCTCTTTCTTGTATATACCTAGAAAGCTTTGATGAGTCTGTAAGCACACTTTACAGTACAAATTATAATATTGCCTTTCTGCCTCTACTCTTCAAGCGAGGCTCTGTGTTATTAATATTAATATAGAATTACCCAACTAACCATTTTTATATGTAACTCTTTGGATGGAACGTTTTTGGCTTAGAAACCATGCCCATTTTGCATAAGCAAAATTTGAGATATTTTCCTTGAAATTTCAAAAACAATAGCAAATCCCTTAAAAATACAGTCCTACTTTTTTATGATATGGCATTATTTTTTCTTGAGATTCCATTCTTTTGTAATTCGATGCAATTTATTTTCTTTTGAAATATGTGGTTTAAGAGAATAGTCAATTCTTCCATTGTTCCAAGAAGTAATAAAATTTTTTTCAATATTAAGACTTTCTAATTCACTAATATCATCATTGCCATCAATATTATTGTCATCTCCATAATTGTTACCAACATTATCAACTTCTACCACACCAATTTCTTCCACCTCTTCCACCTAGAGATGTGCCGTGTGCATTATGCGCATAATAGATTAGATAAATCTATGTTATGCGCCAAAAATTTTAAAAATAAATTTTCATAGAATTTGGCACAAAATTTTACAGATCACCAATTAAAATTTTCTGGACTCCAACTTTCACCCCCAACGTAACCACCCTTTATGTAAACTAAAATTGTACTTTTAACACATGATATGAATCTCGAAGTTTAAATATACAAATTTTCAAAGGGACTTTCTTA